ACACACGCGAAACTAACGTTACGCGCGCCGAAGCAGATTCGGCGGGCTGGCATTAAACGCGTCAACGTCTGCGAAAATTGCCAGCATCGACTCCAGTCGAGAAGGGGGAGCTCGCCAGAGAATGAGCGGGCGGCTATTGGGGCGAGCCGAAAATTGATCAGTCGCGATGATTTCCGAATGCTAATGGTGCCGGTGCAGGGACAGGCGAAAATGACTGCGATAAGTGACCGCGCGGTCTAGCTATATCAGAGTTCTTTCCCTTTAGTACACTAAGGACTGCCGATGTTTGCAGAATACTGTTGTGCCTCAAGGTACAACGAGCTCTTCTGAGGTAGAGCGAATCGCGAATGAAACAGAGGCACGTATGCTGCGGTGAAGACACGACATAACTAGATCGGCAGTTGTTTTCACTGGAGACCTTCACCAGCACTTCATCCATTTGGGCACTTGCCTTTCCTACTTAAAAAAAAAACAGAAACAGTAGTAGAGTGTGTAGACTAAATGATGACAATTAACAAAATTTTTAGCAGCACTGAGTGTGGAAACAGGCCAAACGTTGTTTAGCAATCATCTCGCAAATTAACGTTCAGCACTGCTGAATAATTATGCTAAGCTCCTGGTATTTAACCTGCCGACTACGGAAAATGGAATAAGCAAACAACGCTACTCGCGCTAGCAATGCAAGTACCACAATACGTTTCTTAATTACGCAAGCTATTCTGTTCAAGTTATGTAATCCAGCAGCGCTGGCAACGCGACCGTTTACGCGCGTTGGCGTTAAGAAGGAAGGGCGTATTAGGCATCACCGAGATAAAGAGCGAGGGCGTTTTGGTGCCCTTTTTACGACGTGACAGTTAACGCAAACAGCGGCGGAGTAATTTCAGTCGCAGGCCGTAACAAATGCGCAACAAAACGATAGCGTCTCAAGTTACAAGAAACAACCATCCAGCGGGCGGCGCAACATCAAGTTCTCTAACGCCTCGGGAAGCAACGTCATCGGCCGACCGAATCTTATCGGTGTTATCTCACAACGACCCTCTCGAGACGCAGCGTGGGCGAACAAAAATAAGGCGTTTCCAATCGAACGGAACCGTTTCGCATGCCTGCGGCCCATGAGTACAGTGCCTAGAAATATACTGGCAGTATATTTCTAGACAGTGTACCGTGAGCCATGTCACTGAAAAAATGTCATAAAATCGCTTTTCCTCGTCTCTTGGGCCGTGTTCTTAGGCGCAAAAAACGAAACCGAATCGCTGGTATGCCCGTTAAAAACTACAACTGAAACAATGCCGAAATATCATTTTCATTCCCGATATCGAACGGTGATCAAAGGAGCAAGATGTGAGTTGGTCTAGACGTCACGGAAATCGAAGGGCCACCGACCCGCTTGCCCTTGCAGACACTTCTTCGACATTCTATTCAGTGCCTCTCAATAACCTTCATATGAAGAGCGATCGGATTACCTCCGACATTTGAAGCAGTTGCCTGAAGAATAATGCCGTCCAAGGACACGAATATCCACGCCACTTAAGTACACTGTCAATGGAGTTGGCTGTGATCACTCAGCTAACTATATGAACCACTATAGCTGGGTACGCGAACACGCCTTACTTTCGTACTTCTGGCTTCAGCTCTTAAAGAGCCATTTCGCGCTCTTGTATTTCCAAATAACGAAGCCGCCGTACTTTTCTAAATATGACAATATATATAGAATTTGTACGATGGTATAACACAGCTGCATCTTGCCGGTATTTAGCTATGAAGCAGAAACCTGGAGACTTACAAAGAGGGTTCAGCCTAAATTGAGGACGACTCAGCGAGCGATGGAAAGAAAAATGATAGGTGTAAACCATAAGAGACAATAAGAGAGAAGAGTGGATCAAAGAACAAACCGGGATTAAGGATATCATAGCTGAAATCAAGAAGAGGAAATGGACATGGGCCGGGCATGTAGCGCGTAGACAGGATAACCGCTGGTCATTAAGGGTAACTCACTGGATTCCCAGAGTCCTTATACAGAGCGGCTAAGGGGGAAACAGAAAGATGGATGGGCAGATGAGATTAAGAAGTTGGCGGGTATAAAGTGGCAGCAGCAAGCTCAGAACCGAGTTGACTGGCAGAACATGCGAGAGGCCTTAGTCCTGCAGTGGACGTAGTCAGGCTAATGATGATGATGACGATGATAACACGACAATCGACGGGAATCACGACATATAATGCACACTGGCACACGGATGAATCAACCAATCAACCCATTGATTGATTGATTGATTGATTGATTGATTGATTGATTGATTGATTGATTGATTGATTGATTGCAAATCCCAGCAGAGTGTTCAAAAGTATTCCGTAAATGATCAATTCCGCTTAGTTGGTCTGTCCAAGCCAGTAAAATGCAAGTTTAGGCAAATCCAACGAACAGCACTCGCAGATTAAAACGTGAAAATTTAAAGCGAAGTAATGCACGTACTTTCGCGTACAGCGTGCACAGTTCGTGCCACATCGACGTAATATTGGCTCAAGCGCTTAAATCACGGCCAACATTACAGCCGAAATGGGAGTAAATGACCTTGTCCTCTAGCGCACACCCAGAGGGGAGTTTAAAAAAAACCGTCTCTAGGAGTAAAAAATTTACTCCCCATCAGAAGGGGGTTTTCGCATGGTGCCAGGGCGGTTTTTATTTACATCCATAGGGGAACTTTTTCAGGTCAGTATGGGAGTAAACTTTTTGCATCGACCGAGAAAAAAAATTACGTCAGCAGCCGTACCATGCGCAAGCGTAACTTTAATTACATTACATTTAATACGCACAACAATGATTCCAGTACACAAACATTATCACAACGTTCACGTAATATCACAACACTCGTACTCACCACAGCTTGCCACACGCAGTACACACCTACCATATAGTCACCGAGTATATATAGGCACCACATTCTAACCTCCTGAAGCCCAGGTGAAAGCCTTTTTTTTTCTAATAATTAAGCAATAAATACGCACGGCGTAAGTATGAACTTGCGGTGGTCTGATGTAAGCACTTCAACACACATGCCTTTTATCCTAATCCTGCCTAACATTTAACATTTTTTTACTATAACGAAAAAGTTTTATCAGTTGACGCTCTGTCGTACAGGCTGAATTCGCATCAGCAGTGCTGTTTGTGGACCCGTAAAATGCACTTTATCATACACAAAGTGCGCGCGGCCTTGAATGAACACATTAACGAGGCACATTCAGCAGCTCCAGCGATGAACCGAGGTAGACCACCGCTACATCGTTCGACGACCAGGCCTCACTCACGAGTACGGCACGGTGATCCGATGAATGACAGCTGGCGATCACAAAATGCTTGCTGATGTGCAGTTTACGTCTCGTTTTTCCCATGCACAGAAATAGGTGTCCGCTATCCACGCAGTTTAAGCTACGGATCGATAGACTTAAACGAATGAGACGGTTCGCAGTCGCTGTTCCCGTTGCTCGCATGCATTGCATGTATAGCTCGCAGAGCTCGCCACGGCGGCCGGTGCGCAGTGCGAGCTCGATACGATGCCGGCTTGATACCGACGCCATAGCGAGGCCTTCCTACCACTTAGATGTTACAGCCGGTGAAATACCGGTGACACTCCGAGAAGCCACTATCGGCGGAGACGGGACGAGCGCGTCGCAACTCTCAAACCGGTTGCCGGCCAGCCTGCCGTAGTCGAGCGAAGCCTACTTCAGACCACTTCGAAGTTTCTGATGGTGAAACTCCAGGAGCAGCCGCTGACGATCGTAACAGCTTACTTTTGCTACCATTAATTTATTCTTCGAAGTTTTTTGTTACTCGGCCCTTTGAAGCGTGGCATTCAGGACGTTTCGTTGAGGAATCGGACCGATGTGCAATGTGGTTCAAGGTGCGAAATATATTAAAATGTTCCCAGTAAATACCAACCGGTCGTTGCTATTCTTCGCTGCACTTATAATTTCGTTGCCTGTTGGCAGATGCTTACACGGTTAGCCACACAAATCACATGTGTTTCACACCGACGTGCAAACATATGCCCGTACAGACACATACACACACACACACACACACACACACACACACACACACACACACACACACACACACACGCACACACACACACACACACACTCGTCACGCCCAAAGAGGGTTTTTAAAGCTACTATAGGAAGTTTGAAACCACGTGACCTGAAACTCCCTGAGGAGTTTAACAAGGTCATGTCGTTCATAAACTCTGTGATTAAGGAGGGGGCGTTTTACGATGACATGTGCCGAGTTCACTTCCTACCAGGGAGTAAATAATTGGGGCAGGGGAGTTTTGTGGGCTCATGTGCTGGAGAAACTCCCATCTCGGCTAAATTTTGCTTACAGTGTATATACTTAGCTATGGAGCAGAAACCTGGAGACTTACAAAGAGGGTTCAGCCTAAATTGAGGACGACTTAGCAAGCGATGGAAAGGAAAATGATAGGTGTAAACCATAAGAGACAATAAGAGAGAAGAGTGGATCAAGGAACAAACCAGGATTAATGATATCATAGTTGAAATCAAGAAGAGGAAATGGACATGGGCCGGGCATGTAGCGCGTAGGCAGGATAACCGCTGGTCATTAAGGGTAACTGACTGGATTCCCAGAGTCCTTATACAGAGCGGCTAAGGGGAAAACAGAAAGATGGATGGGCAGATGAGATTAAGAAGTTTGCGGGTATAAAGTGGCAGCAGCAAGCTCAGAACCGAGTTGACTGGCAGAACATGCGAGAGGCCTTTGTCCTGCAGTGGACGTAGTCAGGCTAATGATGATGATGATGATGATGATGATAACACGATAATCGACGGGAATCACGACATATAATGCACACTGGCACATGGATGAATCAACCAATCAACCCATTGATTGATTGATTGATTGATTGATTGATTGATTGATTGATTGATTGATTGATTGCAAATCCCAGCAGAGTGTTCAAAAGTATTCCGTAAATGATCAATTCCGCTTAGTTGGTCTGTCCAAGCCAGTAAAATGCAAGTTTAGGCAAATCCAACGAACAGCACTCGCAGATTAAAACGTGAAAATTTAAAGCGAAGTAATGCACGTACTTTCGCGTACAGCGTACACAGTTCGTGCCATATCGACGTAATATTGGCTCAAGCGCTTCAACCACGGCCAACATTACCTTTCGCGAGCGGATTTGAAGCGGAATTACGCAGTTATCACGAGGCAACGCTTTTATACTACCCTCTATTGCTTTAAATAAAAAGGAAGTCGCCATTAAATCTGCGAGTATACTGTATGCTTATATGCCAACCATTTCCATGCTTGCAGCATGAAAACAGCGACACTTTCAGTGGCTTCCGCAGACCATTGCGCCACAGTTCAGTCCGGCGATCATTGCGGTTAAAGAATGTTATGACGGCGAAGAAAAAACAAGTCCTCCTCGCCTTGTTTAGGCTCGTCCTGGCAGGCTTGGTCTTGGTCCTCGGGGGCGTTGGCGAGGATGCCGGGGGGTGTTTGTCGTTGCAGTTGATCTTGGAGTTGAGCAAGGGCTCCGGAGACGACGGCCGAGTCTCCGGCTCCCTGCTCTTGATCGTGCTCTGGGAGGAAAAGGGAAAAGAAAGACCGTTAATCCAGACGCCGTGCACAACATTTTATAACGAGCTTTAGTAAGCTACTTCATAAACGTATCTCACGAGAAATTCTGACGCACTACTGGACATATTTGCCCATGAAATGGTGGTCTGTTGACTCTTAGAGGTAATCCGCATTAAGCCATGACGACAACAAATGGTCACCGTGCCTGCTTATGACAAGGTGTTACAGCACATGCGACAGTCTATAAAACTATATATATATATATATATATATATATATATATATATATATATATATATATATATATATATCATTAACGCATCGTGCCCTGTTACTACGCATACGTTTTCATAACTGCGACAATGCATTTGCCCACATCCACCCCCCCCCCCCCAACTGAAACGCTGCTTATATAACTAATCCGCTGATTAGCAAATGCTGCCACCAGGGAGTGATGACTTACAAACCAATTGATTGATTGATTTGTGAGGTTTAACGTCCCAAAACCACCATATTATTATGAGAGACGCCGTAGTGAAGGGCTCCGGAATTTTTGACCACCTGGGGTTCTTTAACGTGCACCCAAATCTAAGCACACGGGCCTACAACATTTCCGCCTCCATCGGAAATGCAGCCGCCGCAGCCGGGATTCGATCCCGCAACCTGCGGGCCAGCAGCCGAGTACCTTAGCCACTAGACCACCGCGGCGGGGCGACTTACAAACCAAGCCAAGGTGTATCTATAAAGGGGGCTATATATTCGGCGAGTCAGAATTCATCGAAACGAGTAAAATGACTACTTTCCTTTTCTCAAAGTGATACGAGTTCAACACCTACATATTGAACTGTATCCCGTGCTTAGTTTCGGGAACTCATTACATCCATACAACAAAACTACAGTACCGGTTTTAAATCGTCGCGACAGTACACGGTGCGCAACGCTTCACTCGCAAGTGTTTCTGGCATGCGTTTGCAGTGTTTTCAAGGTGATGCCACTATAGGGAGCATCAGTTCGTTGTCAAATTTCTGGCATTGAATTTATACCAGATGCCATTGGTGTGAACGTGAAAGGCCCCATAGGTGGTGCCATCAGGATGGGCCTAGATGGACCAGGCGGGCATACAGTTGTTACTGCAAAAACCTTGTGCATTCTACTACTCCGGTGGTGTAAACCTTCGGCTGCGGCGTGATTCTGAAGTGCTGCCTTTTTAAGCTATCTTTTCTCAAGGGCACCAGGCTAAAACAAACTTCCCTGTAAATGTGGTTGCACGAAGCGTCACAAGATGTCGATAGCGTCGTCTGACAACAGGGTATTCCGTAGACCCCTTAAGCATGTTACCAATACACCATGCAAGCTAGAGACCTCTATATCTCACGATGTCAACGGCATGTCCTAGAGAAGAGACGAGATGTAAGGCGGAAAGCTATTTACGACTAACCTAGCGCCTAACGAGCGGCTGTTCCTTCCTTTCCGGATCGGCCTCGTTGCAAAGGATTACACTGCGTTCTCGCCGCTCAATAGCTGGATCGGCGCCAGTCGACGATTAATCTCGTCACGTCAACACGTTGAACGTCGGCCACGGGAAACAAAAGACGGCTACTATCCCTCCCTATATACCACTTCTCTCGTTCGCAGCATGTGTCTTTCATAGCACGCAACGTGTCGGCAGCATCGCAATTCCCTCCATCGTGCCAAATGAATCCCCCGTTCAATTAGGCCAAGGAAAATATATATATAGAAATGATTACCCTATTGGAAAAAAACGAATGGTGGGCATGGTGGAAACCACCACCCACCATTATAGTGGATTAATGTAGTGGGTGAATGGTGGGAAACGCCCACCATGGCGCATGGTGGGTATGGTGGGTGCTGCAGTGCCGGCAACACTTGAGCGCGAAATGACGTCAGAATCACCGTGACGAGCTGCCACAAAAAAAAAAGAATTCTATAAAAACGGTATAGAAAACACCCGTCCCATAAAAAAAAAAAAAACAGCGCCACAGAGGATCGAACGTGCAACCTGCGGAATCCCATTCGAAGACGCTAACCACTACGCCACACCAACATGACGTCGATTGCGTGTTAAATACTTAGTTGCCATACAAACTTGAGGTCCAACTTAGTTATGTTTGTCGTGTACACAACATAGACAAGATCTACACCTGCTACTAAATATTGCACATTTATTAAACACAAGCAACTGCGGCCTGTAACGATTGCCACTATGTTAATGACACTAGTGCTATTTTTTGCAATTCACAACTTCAAGAAAAAAAAAAAAACCAAGTGGACTGGGGAGCAGTGACAGTTTACCGGCGGGGTCTGCCAAGTTTAATATCCGTTTTGCGCTCGTTCTAAAGGGCGACATCTGCTCACGCTTTATGACGCTTCTAGGCTCATTCCATAGATACGCCCGCCTAATTTATTTGATTGAGTATTGGGATGCTTTTCGCGCAATGTAGAGGGCGGTCGCGCCAGCGCAATGCTGTAGCTCTTTCGCTAAAGCAACAACTACATAACGGCTTGGCCAAAGCGAATGCAGTGTGCCGGAAACATTACGCTATCATATTGGTTCACCAAGCACACGAATTGCCACGTCTGAGTTCTCGTACAAAAGCTAGAGAAGTGCCGGCGAGTGTGATTGGCGGCTGTCGGTGAGAAGACACTTAATTACGTTCTCTGGGAGTGCTTTAATCGCGTCGCATCGATGTTTGTTGCTTCTTGAGCGGACACTATGCACAATAAAAATTCTTCATTTAGGTTAATTGATGCCATATGGCTGCGCTGTATTGTCATACTTAATCGTCGTAATCATGTTCTCTGAAACCCGGAAGCACGGATAACACAATTGTACGGGCTCGGTCAGTAGGCCTAACCTTTGGTGGAAATCATGGTGGTAGAACATGTAGTGTACAGATCCCAGCTTTGTACACTATATAAATTGCACGCCATTATAAGCCCACCCATCATCTGCTTACTGCTTCCCAGCATTATCGCGATGGTGGGCAGAGCTTCTCAGCTTGGTACACCATGTGGCCTACCATAACAAGCACCACCCATCATCTGCTTAGTGCTTCCCAGCATTATCGCAATGGTGGGAAGAGTTTCTCAACTTGGTACACCATGTAGCCCACCATAATAAGCACCACCCACCATATGCTTAGGGCTTCCCAGCATTATCGCAATGGTGGGAAGAGTGTCCCATTATTGCCCACTATCTAGCCTCTGCTTTCCACCATCGTTTCCACTTTACCCATCATCTGTACACCATACCACCCAGTATGTCCCAGCATAACCACCATATTTTCCACTACGTCCCACCATAACCACCATAATTTCCACCATGCCCACTATTATTTCCACTACTCCCACCATGTTTTCCAGTATCCACCATGGCAATTTTTCCGATAGGGTAGTTGTATTTGACGGTGGTGTAGTATTTGTAAAGCAAAGTGAAATAGATTAGAAGTCGACGAAAAAGCGCCCTTCCAGTCGATGCGATCCGAACCTACATTATTCATTGTATAGGTTCGGACCCCCCCCCCCCCCCCCCCCGACGGAAAGTGTTCTTTTTCGTCCACTTTGATTCATTTCGAAAGGCTTTACAATTGCCCACCTCTGTCACAGTCCTAAACAGAGATGCAGCACCTATGAATTATGAATAATGAGAAAAACAGTAAATAGTACACTGCAGTTAAAAAACAACAAATAATGTGCTTAGCCTAACTGGAGTCGTTTCGTTGTGTCTAACAAAGAAATCAGCCTTTGAAAATTTCCTTCGTTCCGCCCGAGCCGACTTGCAATAATAGAAAGCGGTAAAACGGTAGCCGCGGCTATTGTAAACGCTAGAGACGATAAAAAAAAGTGCCGCCATATCCACGAAGTGAATGATGATGAGTGGGCGAAGCTCTGGAGGAAAACCTGGTAAACCATGAATCTTCCGTACATTTTGCCTACTCGATTTTATTACATCGCTCCCCCTAGCGTACGTCGCCGCACTAAATGGAACGATTGCCTTCAACCAATGACACGTGCCATATGTGACATCTTTCCTATTTCATAACATCTCGCATCTTTCATCATCAACTACAAGTACCGCCGTTTAGTTTATAACATCTTGCATCTTTTCATCATCAGCTACAAGTCCCGCCATCTAGTGAGCACTGAAAGAACTAAACGAGAGGTGGCTACATACAGGAGACGGTACCGCCATCTAGTGAACACTGCAAGAACTAAACTAGAGGTGGCTACATACAGGCTACAGGGGACGCACAGCCCACGCCCTAAGGAGCTTCGCCCCTAAAATAGAGGCCGCCACGCTTTCTACTCCACTGTATACGAGAAACGAAAAACGCGTTTCTATAGGACCGGATGGCAAAGACGCGTGCGCGCATACCTTCTTCGAGACGGCATTCAACGTCGCTCGCGTCTTTGATGACGGCATCCGACGCACACGCATGAGCGTGCGCTATAAAGACAAAGCGAGTACGACAGCAGGTCTCGACAACTCCAACAACGCCGCAGGTGAAGTTATGCTATATTTCCAGGTGCCGGTAAAAATAATTAAAAAATACAAACTATCGATCTAAGACAACGGCGGGGGTCCGATTCAGACAAAGCAGCAAAACAAAAAGCGCTTAGGGCTATAACGGCGAGCGATACAGCAAGAAAAAAAGCGCTTAGGGCTATAACGGCGAGCGATAGACACGATTTCAACGAGAGGCAGTTAAACGCAAAAAAAAATATTAAAAAGTAACCAAAACAAAGCAATACCCGAGGCCAGCACTAAACCGGCACGACACACAATGCGTATACATTATACCCCACGAGCCTCGCGTCAGGTGCGATGCGCACGCGCGAGCTTTGGCTAAAACAACGCACGCCAAGCTATTGACGAGAAAGTATTAAGGAGCAAAAACAAAAAACAACTCTCGACACGCGAACGAGTGTGCGCACGCCAGCAGGCCTGCCCGCCCACCGGGGACAATACAGGCGGCGCACG